TCTAGTTCACCAGCCTTAGTGACAAGAAATCCCTTACCCCTGTGTGTCTGAAGTGATTGCAGGCATCTGCGGGCGTCTTGTGGTTTCAAGATATTGCCAGTATAGGGTAGCTATGTTTTTTGCAGGTTCTGAACGCATGATAACAACAAAAAAACATTTGACGATCTTGAAGCGAGCATGCAATGATGGCGTGCGTTTCAGTGTCCTTCACGGGGAGCCTTCTCGGACCCATTCCAGGAGCTTTGGCGAGTTCTTACTGGCAGACTCACAAACGTTGGGTGGCCCGGGGATCTGCGTAGCATGCTGGTGACAGCCTCGGACATGATTTCATTGAGCTAAGTGGTGCCAAACTGATTCGCATGTAGGTCATAATTGCCTGATTTTCCCAAGTCTTGCTGGAAGAGGGGATATTGCGGCTCATGCTGATATTCATAGGAACCCTTTAGCAACATCACTGGAACATGCATTCTTCACAGCAGGGCTTCTTTAGATGATTCAATGTTCTCCTCTGCTCACCCTACCCTTTCCTTTGAAAACCCCTTGTCAGTACCAGTGCAAGTGCGTTTTCTGTAACAGGTGTTCCACATTTCCACCCATGTATGGCTGAAAGCTAGCAGTGTCAACCTTTCCAACGCATGGATTGCACCAAAATATGGTGTTATAATTGTGGGAGGAAACCAGAAACAACAAGAGACACAAAGGAACTAGCTACAATCAGTTCTTCTTAGATGATCTCATTTTTCCTCCTTTGTTTCCTTTGGTTTCCTTTGGTTTGGGGCTGGGTGGATTCTATGGTTTTCCTTTGGTTTCCTTTGGTTTCAAAGGGAAACGAAGGATTAGGAAACCCAAGGAAAAGACAAACCAATCAAGGAAAGTCCAAGGAGGCTATAAACCCATACAATGCATCAATCATGCCTGTTACTTAGGAAGCTGTTAGAGATAAATATATTTGGAAAATGTTTTTTTGGTCAATGGCACCAAGCACCTGATCCCACAAGGTATCATGGCTGGATTCGACTTTCAGACAACGAAGGTTGGGCACAGGTGCGCGCCGTGAACTTTGAGTTGACCATGAGTTGACCTGTTTGCTTTGCGTTCAGCTGGCTTGGTTTGGAAGGCCGTCAGCGGCTCTGGGGAGAGAATGCTGATTGGTGCAGCTAGCTGAGAAACCTTCCTCCTGCATCCGGTGGCAGGCAGTTTCCCCTACAGATTTTCCAATGAATTGACTGGGATTCCACCCGAAGTAGGGGCTACAAGCTTGTTGCGCGCTTGGATTTTCCGCCCAGTCTGGGTGGGGTGGAATTCGGCTGTGATGCCCAGATTCGACCAGATGAGCTGCAGCTGACTACAACTGATGGCTTGGCCGGAGAACCCATGAATTCACCATGGCATCCTGAACAATGGGACTATAATGGCCTGATGATCCCACCTGGGATGCGTTCCTGAACCACCCATAGTTGACTCATGGCGGGTGATTCACGGTGATTCATATGTTCAAATTGTTGGTGAACAAGTAACGGGGATATCAAGGTGGTTATATACACAGGTCCATGTTTGTCATACCCACCGTTGGTGGCTACATCAACAACTCAAAATTTGGTTAAAATTTGTGCAAAATTGGTTAACATTTGGTATGATTCATACCACAAACTCGCCAAGTGTTCCTGGTATGATTCATACCACAAACTCGCCAAGTGTTCCCAGCCGACCTTCCACTTGCAAGGCTGTGCCGGAGGAGTCCCCGGAGCAGGCGGCTGCTGCAGTCGCAGAGGCAGGGAAACTTTCTACAAAGATGCCAAGAGTGAGACATCCCTCCAGCCGGAGAATTTCCCACAAACTGGTGAGTTCTTGGATCTGTTTTGGCATTTTGTCGGCCGTGTTTCCGTGTTTCCCCATTAAGATCAACCAGATTCCGCCAGTACTGCACCACGCAAAGCTTGCAGTTCTTGGGATTCAGATGAGATCGAAAGGCAGAACGAAAAGAAGCGCTGAGACAGTTAGAGGCACAGTGGGCGGAATCGCTTTTCTTGTGGTGCCGCAAGCTACTCGTACCAGCTGCTCGCTTGCCATATAGCAACCGGTCTTAATAGCTCCTGCACTGGTGCAGGCGCCGGAGAAGGTTCCGGCGAAGGTTCCGGAGAAGGTTCCGGAGAAGGTTCCGGAGGCTTTGGTGCAGAGCCAGGTAAGGTTCAACAGAAGATTCTGGTGAAAGGTCTGGGAGGCTTTGGTGCAGAGCCGGGTCAGGTTCAACAGGGTTCCGGACAAGTTTCCGGAGAAGGTCTGGGAGGCTTTGGTGCAGAGCCAGGTCAAGTTCAGCAGGGTTCCGGAGAAGGTTCTGGGAGGCTTTGGTGCAGAGCCAGGTCAGGTTCAACAGGGTTCCGGAGAAGGTTCCGGAGAAGGTGTGGGAGGGTTTGGTGCAGAGCCAGGTTAGGTTCAACAGGGTTCCGGAGAAGGTTGCAGAGAAGGTTCCGGAGAAGTCTGTTTTTCTTCTTTTTGTTTTCATGCATGTGCACACTGCATACATGGATGTCATTAGACCAGCTGTGCTTTTCAGAGTCTTTGTTACGATTTGTTTTGGTCATGCCGATTTAACTTGCAGTTTTGCCTCGATGTCGTGTTTTGGAATTGCATGTGTTTTGCCTCGGTTTGTTTTGCCCCGCGTGGCTTCGCAGCACGCTTCAGAAAGATTTGTAAAAAGAAAACGTTGCAGCTGTTGGGGATACCACCGAAGCTTTTTTTAGATTTAATTACTGCGCGCCTTGTACACAGGAACGACACTGCTTGCACACTTCTGCCGGCAACAGCTAAATGCACCAGCAGCAGCGACAAATTTGACAAGTCATGCGGATGAGTCTTGACGCAAGACACGTGGTGGAATCATGATAGACATATAGAGAGTTCACCCCAGATGTTTCCAGCCATTCTTTCAGACCTGGAATGTCAGCATAGCTGGCAAAGCCTCCCAAGCTCGTCCACGGCCAGTCCGCTGCACTTTCTGGGAACTCTGCATTCTTTTGCGCGGAGCCTTGGGATGCCTTGGGCCCTTCCACAGCTGGAGAAAGCCAGGGCAAGATTGCGGATGGATGTATGGATGGATGGATAATGGATGGATAGATTAATAGATTAAAAGATTAAGTAGTTTGACTATACAGGTATACAGATATGTGCCATGTGTGAGTGTATTTGTTTTGCTCACCCCAAGAAGCAACCCCACAACTGCCGGAGCCCCGAGGTGCGGCTTTGGAGGTAGCTCGGCAACGCGGTGTATCAAAGAAGGAGCCGATCGGTGTCTTCCCATCGCCTGAAACATATTCTGTGCATTGAACAGTCATGCTTAATTAGTATTTTCGGGCTGGTGGTCTGAAATATGTTGATGCTGATATTGATGTTGATGTTGTTGATGTTGTTGTTGTTGTTGTTGTTGTTGCTGTTGTTGCTGTTGTTGTTGTTGTTGTTGGTTGTTTCTTGTTGTTTCGTGTTTTTTGTTGTTGTTTGTTGATGTTTGTTGTTTGTTGTTGTTGGTTGGTTGTTGTTGTTTCTTGTTGCTTCTTGTTGTTTCTTGTTGCTTCTTGTTGTTTCGTGTTTTTTGTTGTTGTTTGTTGTTGTTTGTTGTTGTTTGTTGTTTGTTGTTTGTTGTTTGTTGGTTGTTGTTGTGGTTGTTGTTGTTGTTGTTGTTGTTGTTTGTTGTTGTTTGTTTTTGTTTGTGTTTGTGTTTGTTGTTGTTGTTGTTGTTGTCGTTGTCGTTGTTGTTGTCGTTGTTGTTGTTGTTGGTGGTGTTGGTGTTGGTGTTGGTGTTGGTGTTGGTGTTGTTGTCGTTGTTGTTGTTGTTGATGATTGTTGTTGTTTGTTGCTGTTTGTTTCTGTTTGTTGCTATTTGTTGTTGGTTGTTGTTTGTTGTTGGATGTTGTTGGATGTTGTTGTTTGTTGTTGGTTGTTGTTGTTTGTTGTTTGTTGTTTGTTGTTGTTTGTTGTTGTTTGTTGTTGTTTGGCGTTGTTTGGCGTTGTTTGGCGTTGTGTGGTGTGTGTTGTTTGTTGTTTGTTGTTGTTTGTTGTCTGTTGTTTGTTGTTTGTTGTTTGTTGTTTGTTGTTGTTGTTGTTGTCGTTGTTGTTCTTGTTGTTATTGTTGTTGTTGTTGTTGCTGTTGTTGTTGTCGTTGTTGTTCTTGTTGTTCTTGTTGTTATTGTTGTTGTTGTTGTTGCTGTTGTTGTCGTTGTCGTTGTCGTTGTCCTTGTTCTTGTTCTTGTTCTTGTTCTTGTTCTTGTTCTTCTTCTTGTTCTTCTTGTTCTTCTTGTTCTTCTTGTTCTTCTTGTTCTTGTTCTTCTTGTTCTTCTTGTTCTTGTTCTTCTTGTTCTTGTTCTTCTTGTTCTTGTTCTTGTTCTTGTTCTTGTTGTTCTTGTCGTTGTGTATTGTTGTTTGTTTGTTGGGTGGTTGGGTTGGGTTGTGTTGTGTTGTGTTGTGTTGGGTTGGGCTGGGTTGGGTTGGGTTGGGTTGGGTTGGATTGGGTTGGGTTGGGTTGGGTTGGTTGGTGGTTGTTGTTGTTTCCGCATGTGTTCAACCATATTTGGGATGATGGTCATTTACGGGTGATATTTTTCACATGGGTTGAAACCACCAATGATTTTATTTATGGCGTAGCTGGTTACCGCGGCGATTTTTCGAGGACATTGCCAAAGCCAATGCAATGTAGGGGTGCTCAGAAATTCTCATCCACTGCAGGTTCTGAGACATGCGGCTGCCAGCAGCACTGGTGCGCATGCATATCCCAGCTACATGATGTGAACATGGAGCAAAACTGGTCATGACTGAGGCGTTCGTGAACTTGGTGTTGCGCCCGGGACATGCTTTAGCTTATCATTCCTGACTTGCGGCCAGAGTTGGCCCGGGAAGAAAAGGGATTGCAGATAATGTGGAAGACGACAATGCACGCATCGCATCAAAATGCTCAGTCTCCATGAAATGATAGCAACCATTCATTGGGCACCACGCTCCTGCAGCCGTTCTCTTAGTTGGGAGGTGGTGGGGTTGGGTCAGCCAGCTCACAAGTCCAGAGGCATGGGAGCAGCAAACTATGAGACCTCTAATGCCTGAATTGGGTTTTGGTATTTATGCACTGGCTTCCCCCATGCCAATGTTGAAGCTTGTTCATGAGAGTTGGAGAGACACTGGTGGCATTTGTTGCTCATCGCATCCGGCGCCTTCGTGGCCACAACCTTGCTATTTCGTGCTGCCACTTGGAAGGCAGAATGGCATCTACAGCCACCATCGACCCAGAAACCTGGCTGAAATCGATGCCAAAGCATCTAAAACATGTGTCTGACATGTTGATTGTTGGCACGTGATCCCACCCGTTTGGACAGCACTGATTAAGGGGGAGGAGCACCATGACCTAGTAGGAGGGAAAGTGGGCCAGAATCGAGGTGATGGCCCTTATGGGATGGCATGGCGAACCCTTATTGTTTGCAGCTAAGCCTGGGAGAAGTGAACTACGAGATGTGTTTGGGTGCAGGGCAAGCTGGCGGGCACGATGTCCTCCATGACACCGCAATGCCACAAGATAGGGTCAATGCATGAAAAAGACCCGTAGCAAGCATCAGAAACAAAAGGTGCGAGGTTCAGAAGCCACCTGTTGCAGAGATGGGCGTGCTTAGGCTACGTCGGTTGAAGTACCATGTAGCCGAATCTGCCCGGAGCTTTGAAATAGTTCTTAATTGCATGTCCAGTGGGAACCGTTGGAACAAATCTCAAGCTAGTGCTATAGATGTAGACTGTTTCAATGGTGGAAGAGACAAACAAGCTAGGCTGGTTTGTCAGTTGCCACATCACGCTGAATCTACAAGTTGCAAAGGCCTTGGAAATCACAGCCATCATAGTCCAGACCTTATGACCAGTGACACATCATGTTCCATTCCATCATACCCTTCTTTCATCTTCTTTCAAATGCTCGAAAGAGCTTTTGCGGTGACTTCTAGCTCCAGAAAATGGGCAGTGCAAGTTCCACACATCAGCTGAGTTTGAAGGGTCCCTGTGCGAGCCCCTGGGAGTCCAGCAGCTTTCAGGGCCTTCGCATCCCACTGCCCTGGCAGGTTTGCATGTACCTCTCTGACAAGTCGCTGCAGCCCAAGGGACTGTTTATTCGACTGCTGGGGGCCTCAGACAGAGCAGTCACGTCGATGAAGGCCATTTGTGGACATCTAGGGTTTAGATTTCATTGAAGGCATGCAGTGTTGACAGTTAGAGGCACACAAGTGATTGCTCATTGTCATTCAAAACCCTTGATTTGATCAAGTACTCACTCTGACAGAAGGTTCTTTCCCCGTTGAGTTGCCAGCAGCATGACGTGCTTCTGAGGTTGTGCTTGCCAATGGCCGTGGGCGCCCCAGCAAACCCAATGCAATTCCCAGCTCAGCCCAGCAGCGCCATGGCAGGTGGCATCATTGAAATTGTTTTGGTCATTGCAGCTGACGTGGAGTTGGGATCCGAGCGACAGCCTGTAAGAGCGCGGGGATGTGGTAGACATGTTGAACCGGGGTTTCCTGACTGGAGGGATGGACATCCATCTCTCGGCTATACTGGGTGTGTAAATGCTTATGTACAAACATTCGTATATGACATGTATACATAATTGTTATTATATATAAATGTGGGTGTGTTGATGCTCATCAGGGTACCAGGGCCAAAACATTAGGAAAGGGTCACGACATGGATGAATGGCACAACTTCAACCATATTTCCACTTGCATCGCAGGCTACCTGAGGATGAAGAGCGCAGATGCTTCCACCATGCTGCGACGGATGGGGTTCGGGGCCCCAGATCAAAGTGCAAAGATGGGAGTCAGCGCAACTTGCGGGTTACTTTCCTTGGTGTGTGTATATATATGTGTTTGGAAAGGGTTTAAGAATGTTTGAGATATTTTGTTGACCAAACTGGATCCAAAGATAGTCCCGAAACTATGCTACCAAGTAGCAGCCCTTGTTTTTGGAATGTTAAAATGGAAGCCTCAGAGATTGGGTTGGAATTTGATCTGACTGGCAGGCTTTCTTGGCCACGAGCGTGATAGGTTTGGTGAGAAGATGAAATCCCACAAGCATATATGGACACAGCAGGAGTCTGAAGGATAAATGAGAAACTCTTGAATGTGGCGAACTACAAGTAAGTACCTAATAGCCTATCGCCTATCCTTTTGCAACTTTGACATGTGTTTCATGGGATCAGATCGCAGACCGTTCAAGAAGGAAAATACGGACTGTAAATTGAGGTGTTTGCACACTCGCAGCCACTGGTCTTGTTCTGTGGCGGTGGGCCAAGTTTGCTTTTGGCATGGACTGACAGAGTAGGCGTTTGCATAGCCACAACGGAGTGAAAAGAAATGAGAATGAGGGAAGAGAGTTTTGAGCCGATTGATGCTTTGCTTGCTTCGTTGGTACATTGTTCGTGTAGCCTGACCAAGGCCATGTTTACCTGCTTTAGCTGCTTGCTGATGGTCTGGCATGCCATCGTGCTGTTGCTCATGTTTTGTTGCGAGCTCAGCGAACCATCTGCCAATTTCCCGCACACCAGGATTGCCGATAACAGTGGCATTTTGAGGCACAGACTGGAATAGAATATATAAGTAGAATAGATGATAGTAGATCGCAGGCGAAAGTAATGGGGTTAAACCATGTTATCAACACAGAAAGGCGGGTCCCCAATATGAGGCAGCCACACACTTGTGACAGCATCAAATCAATGCTGTTAGTGAGGCTATGACTACACCCCCGAACAGGCTCTGGTTGGGTCGACCATTGGGCCCCCAATGTTGACTAATCATGGCTTCAGCCGGATGCGGAGAGCAGCGCGCAGTCCTTGGGAGGTTTTTGCAGTGCGCTGCTTGATGGGCTCTTCGGGGCTCTTTGTGGCAGCTTGACTCCGGATTGTTGTTGTCTCGGAAGATATTCCTTGGGTCCATTTAGATGTATTATATGATTTTTATGGGTTTTTCATTTGTATGCACACACACATATTGATAAATAGGTTTAGCGGATTGGAAAGGGGGATGAGCCCTGATCTCTGACAAGATGTTTCAGATGCATTCTCCAAATCCTGCGTGGAATGGAATGGTTGGTCATGATGGGTCATGATTGGTCACCCTTCTGAAAGCGAAACGCGTAGCCAAGGTGCTGAATTGGATCTTTTGGCGTGACTTTGTCAGGAACTCAGCGGGTCTTTCAGCACTGGGGGGGATGATCCCAACTGGGCTAAGGTCCGTCACTACCGCGAGACTCAAGAAGACGAGGGGTTGCCAGGCTGCACTTCAGCATGATTTGCCACCGCAACAGAGTCGACAAATGGAGAAGAGAGAAATATAGAATTATATAGATGTGTCCATTGTAGATGCTTAGATACTTTAGATGTACAGATGTATGGTATGTATGTATACATAGCTTTGTCGTATAATGTATTCTACACGTGTACATACATACATTGCGGTATGGTATGGTATGCAACGCAATGCAATGCATTACAATGGAATGTACTGTAATGTAACGGTACGTACTGTAATGGTACGTAATGAAATGGTATGTAATGGTATGTAATGCAACGAAGTGGAATGGTATGTAATGCAACGAAGTGGAATGGTATGGAATGGTAGTGAATGGTATGGAAGGTATGGAATGGTATGGAATGGTATGGACTTGTAATGAATTGTATGTATGTTTGTCTGTCTGTATGTATGTATGTAATTGATGCATGCATGCATGCATGCATGTATGTATGATATTGACGGGTAGATAATCCTTTCCCCCTATTACTAACCCCAAATACTAAAAATTAGGGTCCATCTCCCAGTTTGGAAAATTTCAGGTTGGCCAATTTGACTTTTTATTGATCCCCTTTAGAAAACAATTTAAAAATAAAGCCACCATTTGTGGGGTTCGCCCCCTAATAATATAAACTAGTCAACCCCGGTGTGTTTATTATTAGGGTCCGTCCGAAAATTTTTAATTTTCTATATTATGGCTTTTATTATTAGGGTCCGCTTCGAAATCCAATTTTTGGCAATAGTTTAATTGCGTTATAAAAGGAAATCTAATTGATTTTGAAATCCGAGAATAAGAGTGTTTATCCTTAAAGCTTTAAATTTATTAATAGGGTCCGCTTCGAAATCCAATTTTTGAAAATATTTTGATTGCGTTATAAAGGGAAAATTTATTGATTTTGAAATCGGAAAAACTACTGGGTCAAAGTGGTAACTTATGCCGCGGTCATCTTCTTGTGCCGCAAACGGTGTGCCGTTGGGAAGTCCATGATATACATCTCATTCTTGCTGGATGAATCAATTGTTTGTGGCATTGATTTTTCTAACACTTTACAGGGACACACATGTTTTTGAGACATATTCTTTTTGAGATAGAAACTCATGGGGATGGCTTCTCAATAGCTTGACTCGCACAGAAGAGAGAACAGTAGAAGAGAAGAGTAGAGTAGAAGAGACTATATACAGAAGAGTAGAGAAGAGAATCGAGCTGAAGAGTAGAAGTGATTAGAGAGGCCTAGAGCAGAGAAGGGAAGAGTAGAAAAGATCCCTGCTGCCTTGCCTTGCAAAATCCAGATCTCGCACAGATCTCGTAAAGACCTCGTAAGGATCTCGTAAAAATAACGCAATGAGAATGACATGTAGAACTGGTCTTCTTAGAGGTCAAGTTGATGGTGTGCTATGCGGTTTACAACGCTTTGTGTCAGGTTTAAGACAGATAAAAAAACGGTACAAAGCGTTGCAGTCCGCATAGGAAGTTCATGAAAACAATGTGCACATACATGGATCGGCAAAGTGATCGGCTGCAGAAAAGAAAACTGTTACCTGAGTACTTGGATGTACTCGGTGTGCCAATGGGGAAAACCATCATGGATGACATTCTTAGAGATTAAATATGTTGTTCCGACAATGGGAATTACATTTGAGAACTTGGGTTGATAGAAAACAATTTGTAGGTGTGCCATGCGTTCCCTGACATTTGGGGTAAGGTCAAAGAATTCACGAACTGATGTAAAATGTACCAAATCCCTTAGGAAAATAACAAACCAATCCAAAAACCTGTCCGTGAGGGCCGGTGTGCCATGGTGATTTGCACATGGCGTAAGTTCTTGGGGTCGTGGGGTAAGCGGTGTGCCATGCGGTGGGGTAAGTTCATAGATTTTGGGGCAAGTTACCCCCCGGACTCGTACTCTTTATTATTAAGGTTTTAAAACCATTAATAGGGTCTGCTTCAAAATCCAATTTTTGGCAATATTTTATTTGCGTTATAAAAGGAATCTAATTTAATTGATTTTGAAATCGAAAAAAACAGTTTTTATTATTAAAGTTTTAAATTTATTAATAGGGCCCGCTTCGAAATCCAAGTTTTGGTAATATTTTAATTGCGTTATAAAAGGAAATCGGAAAAACTATTTTTTATTATTAGGGTTTTAAATTTATTAATAGGGTTCCCCAATAGTAAATACACCCCTAATAATAAAAACTACCTGAGGTGTTTATTATGAGGGGGGGACGTTTAGTATTTGGGAGAAGGGATTAGGTAGGTAGATAAGCAGATGGGTAGGTAGACAGGCAGGTAGATAGGTAGATAGATAGATAGATAGACAGATAAAGAAAGATATATAGACAGACATGAATAGGCAGCGGGTAACTGGACTGAACAATTTGTAGGCCACAGCCGAGGTTAGATTTCGTAGACCTCTACAAGCTTCAGCTGCTGTGCAAGATGTACCAATCAAAGGTGCAGATGAAGCTCCCATGTTGCCATTTTCTTGATCCATGTTGATCCTGCTGCCGCTCCAACATGTTTGCATGGCTTCATTAGCTCACAGATTTGCCAGGTAATTCGCTCCCGGAAAGCGCGGGACGTTCAAGGGGATGCTTCGGCCCCTTTGTCTTGTACATCTTGCTCGCTTCATCGGGAAATGCCTGCGCAGTACGCCCATGTGTCACTATGCTGTTCAAGTTTGATCAGTAAATTGAAGACTATTATTTCTGGAAACAGCTTGAAGTAGGAGCTAGCCAGCTAAGGCATTAGGTCCCTCGGTCCTCTAGAGAAGCCAGCTGGAAGACTGCATTTTTATGCCAGGCACAATTTGTTTGGAAGAATTTGGTGCCGCAGAGAATGTGTCGCAATTACCTTGCAGCATGCTCAGCCCAGCACAGGTAGGCGTGCCACCTTTGGACCTGAAACAGTTGACTTTTCAGTGAGGTGGTCACTGCTTCCACACTGCCTGCATCAACAAGTGGGTGTTGGAGGCCGGACAAGGGTTCCAGTGTGTTGCTATGGATTTCTCACCTTCGTTTGCTTTCTCCACTGAAAAAGTGTTCAGCATGTTGCAAGTCGGTGACAATATAGTAAATGCCTGGTTTGTGCCTACTTGGTTTTTTTCTAGAGTCTTCCACCATACCGGGGAGGATTCCCAATGAGTAGTTGTTTTTTCCTTGCATATGGCTTGAAACCACCAACCAGTACTGCAGGTTTGCCATTGTCCCTACCCCATGACTCTGGTTAGGACTGGCGCTGTCCCTTCCGCTGCCCCTTGGAAGTGCCAAGGAGCGGGATGAGAAGGGTGGGATGCCCACCTATGCCTGCAAACATACAGCCAAGGATCGTTTCTGTTTTGTCGTGTTTTTGGTCTTCTCATGGGCCAATGGGACCAACCCAACGGGTATAAAAAGTGATTGACCTCTAGGTAGTAGTAATTGCCGCATGACAAGCCGCAGAAAATTGCTCGACCTCCGACAGTTCTGCCCATGGCTGCATGTGACACCTAGAGATCGAAAAAAAATTGGAGGAACTATTCCTTTGCAACTACGGACAGGCAACGGGTGATTCAAATCCAAGTACAGCGTTGGCCTGCGCATCATGTCACATTGGCATCAACGGCACCTCCAGGAGCATGAAAGCTCAGCAGGCTTGGCCTCCACAGGCGCTGTGGGAGAAACAAAGCCAATGCCTGCTGCATCAACTTAAGAGGATCAAGAAGATCAGGAAGTCTCTTGCTTGCCCCCTTCATTCTTAACTCCGCTACATTATACCGATTGATATTCACCTTCTTGATTATATACATGTGTGTGTGTGTTTATTTGTACATATGCGCATGCATGATCACGCATCATCATGCATACTGAGTCAATCCGGATGCATCCACTCACATTCTTCGTCGTGGCCGGTGCAGGAAGCAGCTCGTGATGTGGACTTGGAGGCAGCAGATGTCATGGACTTAAACTACCATAGCGATGGAAAATGGTCCGTTTGTAGATGATTTACCTATTAAGGTGGATTCAGATGGTGTTTTACCATGGCTATGTTAGATTGCCGATATGTCAAATATTGTTTGTACTTGTTTGTTGCCTTATATATTATCTGGTTCTTGATGCTAAGCATACTGATGTCATCCTCTCCTTGTTTGTCGCATGGTTCGATGTCCACTAAGGCAGCTGCCCCAGACGCTCCACCCAGCGAAACGGCTCCCAGGGCTGCTTGGATGATTTTGGCCAGGGCTTGAACGAAAGTAGTGTGGTAAACCCGATGGCAGAACCCTACCATAAACTTACCATTTCGATCCATTTCGGGACGGTTTATACAACACATTTATGATGGTGATTTTGGAAGTGATTTATTGTTGGGTTTACCATTTGAAGGTTTTAGTTCTTGAAGGGTCAAGGTGACTAGGAAGGCATAAACCAATGCGTGAGGCAGCGCATATAGTTATGCACACATATGTGCATTATATGCATGCACACTTTTGCACGCAATGTGACAACATGTGACAACCGTGGGGCAGCTTTTTGCTTATCTCCGAACGCATGTTCCATGGCTCAGCACCTTTGGGTCCAATCGGATATGTGCTCCTGCAGTTTAGCAAAAGTGATGTTTTTGTGGAAAGCGCCATTGAAAAACAAATCGTGCCAAGATAGGCTCTGAGGTATGCAATGGTATGGCCCCCAAAATGATTCGAATGCCCTGGGCCCTGGGCCAACAGTAAGAGCCACCTTCCCGGAGGACGGACGTGTTTGACCCCTACCAGTACCAATGCCACGCAAGTGCCTCAGGATGGCTGTTGGACCATGTTGGACCATGTCGGACCATGTTGGACCCATGGTCAGATTCGTCAGGTGGTCAGCCCATTTGGATCTGGCCTTTATTCTTCCAGGTTTGGATTTACAACTTCCAACAAATCCACAGGGAAAATACAGAAATTGAAAGAGAGAGAGGGAGAGAGAGAGATAATAATACCATAGGTAGGAGTTGGTTGGCAGAATGCTCTCTTCCATGTTGGTTTTGTTACAACTTGAGCTTCATGTGGAGCTTGCTGCACCAACTCTGCGCTTGATTAACCGGACAACTCTTTGGGGAGAATCGATAAGTGCTTCTTCTGCTCGTAGATGGTTCATGAAATATCATGAAATCCTCTTGTTCCACATCCGGCCGATTTCAGGCCAGAGCCTTTGTACAGCAGCTCGGCCGTAGGGCTGCAGCGATTTCGAGGAAGTAATTCAAAATGGCCCCAACCTGCTGATTAGTTGACAACCTCACATGGTTTCCTTGGCTCAAAGTTGTAATGTGTTGCGATGCTGGTGGTTCCTCAAACCTCTTGCGCAGCAGGGTGGTCCTTGGGGCATGGATGTGAGTCTAATGGGCCCTGCCATCATCCAATATCCTCCAGCCACAGCTGTCAAATTGAGACAAACAGTCGAGTTTTGGTGCATTTCTCGGCCCACTGAGTCGACTCAGAGTGGCTATCCATCCATCTCCATGAAAACATCTGATCTCCGGCACCAGATCGGGATCAAACTCCCGGGGCGGCGAGGAAGCCAAGGTCACGGGATCCCCCAACGCGCTATGCGGGCGCCGCACTTCCTCAGGGATGCACAGGACTTGCCGCTGACCACGAGAAAAAGGAGTCTGAAAGGTCTGGTGACACTCACCATTGAAATTATTCGAAATGAATACGCATTTAGTATTTCTATTTATGTTTTGTACTTTAATAAATGTGCGCGCATGTGTAGTTCAATACAATGCATACAACGTAATGCAATTTGATTTTATGATGTGTTACCCACGCAGGTACATACATAGGTTTTTACAACTTGGTGACGATATACCGCAACAACACACACGCACACACTAGACAAGAATGGATCATTATATGATCCGGCAGGAACTGAATCCTGAAACATGCAAACCAGCCTAGATTATTAGAAGAATAAAAGAGCCACTTGAGGTACTGCTTGAAAACGTTGTAGGGCATCCGATATTGTCAAACGTAGTCATAACCAGATTCCATAGAGTTTTGACCAGCATGTTGAAATCCAAAATAATGTTTCGGCGATTGTTTCACAAAGTAACCCATAGTTCGTCGGCGACAGGATCTCGGCGAGAATAAGTCAAAAAACATAATACTGTCGGCGATATGGTTTCGGCGAAAATCTGAGGAAGGTTCTGATGCATGTAAATTTCAAAATTGATTCCAGATTGCGACAACAGTGCAGCAAATTGTATAATATTGTGGTTGGGGTTCTAAGCTTGGCCCCTTGCTATGTCCGAAAAAAGCAGGTACGTGCAGTTGATCAGACTGCATATCCTCTCCAAACATCAGTAGCTTCGTTGGCCACGGACTGATGAATGGAGCCGTGGCCCCCTGCAAATTAGTGAAAACCAATAAGAAGTTTTACATCTGTTCAGATGGTACACACACACACACCTCGCATGTAGCGAGGTTGGATTTTTTGGAAGAACTTCGCTGGCGGAATCGGCAATACACCAGTGAAAGTGAACCTGTAATAACCTAATGTGCAAACGGGCGATCACTTCAGTCAGAAGAGGAATTCGGAGCTTGTAGAAGGACTTCGATAGCATCGTGGAAGCTCATGCGTTCAACCATCGCCCAAGTCTGATTGAGTTCCCCAGATGCCGTAGCAGCCTTCAAGGTGTCAGAAAGATCTTTAGCTAATTCATGGAGCCGGGTGGTTAGGCTCGGTTCATCTGCAGGAGATGTCGTCTCAATGGGCACATTGTGAAAAGGATGGTGTCCGTGTACAAGGGGGATCTCGAAATGATGTCGCCAATAGTCCGCTGTACGCAGGGACCACTCCCAGTTGCCCGAAAGACCATAGAAGTAGTGTTCTGGGTCACGACATCGGGAATGCCCTAACAAGGGAATTTCTTCAATGAATAGCTCCCTGGTGTTGTTGGAGTGGGTAATGACCTTGAATTGGATCTGGTGAACCACGCGAGAAGAGAATTGAGCACGATGGAGATAGTTGTGTGCAGAACTTGACTCCGTTGGAAACGGGACGCCAGGAGGTGCTGGTCCTGAATATGTATCAGAATGGGCCATAGTAGCAGTGTCAGGAGCCGTACTGTCAGTTACCAAAGGTGCCGACGTAGGGTTGGTAATAGTGTCAGGAGGGCCTGAGTGACATAGTGCAGAAGCTTGGGCGTCTGGTACTTGAACTGGGTTGGTAGGAGCGAGTCCACGGGTAGGATTCGAAGGCCAACCCAAGCCCGCCACGGTCGCGTCTCGTTTGTGTTCCATGGGTGAAACGTTCAGAAATGCGAGAAATAGTGCAACAACGGCTGAGGCATCAAGAATTGCAACAATAAGCCAATCCCGAGAATGATAACAATCACAATAATGATAGAAGTGAAGTCCAGTCTTCAATCAAGTGAAACAATTGCGACGGAGAAGCCAAAGCGCAAAATCAAATAAAGTGGAAATCAAAGAATCCTTTGTGATAGTGAGGTGTCAAGGGAGAATCGAAACCTTGCATCATGGTCTTTTTTGGTCGGTTAGCGTGTCAGGGCAGGATCACACCGGGGCTCATTTTGTAGCATTGCAGACGTAGTACGAAAGGCTGTGTGGTACCCGGAATGAGCAAAGAGGATTCGCGGGAGTTGTACTGCCGAAGTCGCCATTCAGGTCGGTATTCCTCCAAAAGCTGCAAGATCGTCATATCATTGGAGACTTGGAATGTATCACCGTCCAGGTCGCAAAAGCGAAACTCCAAATTCGAGGGATCAATTTGGATGTCCCATTGGGACCTCAATCTTTTTGAAATACAGAAGCGTAGTTCGCCAATTGGGATGAGGCCGGCTTCAACTGGTTCCATCTGACGCGACCAGGTAAACAGAGCCTCAAGTTCGTAGCCACTAACATTTCTGAAATTGGAGCTGGCCATAGCCATGTAGTGTTCACGGTCAGGTTCGCTGCGATGAGTCAATGCCTGTAGGGGAGAGAAGTCAACCAAGATAAGAACAGGTCGGTTTGGAGGAGGGTTCACATCACCAGGAAGGCCTCGATGTCCAGCAAACCATCCAATGGTTCGTGTACCCAGCGGTGTCTCAATCGTGGATGTAGCGCGATATGGATGGGGCCGAGAAGAATGAGCCATGGCGTCTAATGTCGAGTGTCGAAGATAAAGCGGAAAGCCCAAGCTGCAGAATAGGTTGATAATGACCAAAGAATAAAGCTCAAAGTGTTGAAAATTGAAGAGAAACGGTCAACCTAGTAAGTGGTCACAAAAAGACGGTAAATCACTGTTCTTTTCCGGTGCCGACAAATAATGTGGTGTATTACACACTGGAGTCTGACATATCCATCGGGTCCGTATCGTTCGCATCCAGTGGGCCTTGTACTTGTTGAGGAGGGACGGTAGGCCGAGTGAGATGTAAAGTACGTTGTAATGTTGCCGGTGGTGACGAAGGTGGTGTAGACCGCCATGGTGGCCAATATAAGGAGGTGGTAGTTCCTTGAGAGTGATGTTGCGCAGAGCGTCCCCAGCATGACTGCAAAATATAGAGTTGGTCCAGTATTGCTTCATACGGTTGGGAAACATAGACATTGGAGTGTTCAGGGTGTGGTAGAACAGGAACAGCAGTTGTCGTAGGGGAGGAGGATGATGATTGAATTGGTACGTCATAGTGTCGGCGCCAATGATTAGCCGTGGTACGTAGAGTCGCCTGATCAGTGGTGAGGTGCATGTTCTCCAGAAAGGTTTCCACAGGTTTCCACGTTTCAATACCATCAATTGTCCTTTCCACGACCCAAAGTTCATCCGGACGGTTAGACAACGGGTAGCTCAGCTTCTTGATGAATACGGAATGAACAGTTGTCGAGGTCGGGATGGTTCGTGCTTCGCGAGGGATATACGATGCCGAAGTAGGATCATCCGGCGGTAGATGTGGAACTGGGCCATGTAGGGATGTAGGTGGGGAACGGTGTGAAGCCGATCGAGCAGTATCATCCGTATTGGAGGTCATCGTGTACAATAACAATAATATGGTTTCGGAATACGCTGGACTGAAGCCAAAGAGCCATGAGAAAGGTCAATGATGACGGGATGAATAACGAACATCAACAAAAGGAAAAGAAAAGAAAGAAGTGAAGGAGACCATGGAAAACCAAAACCAGGATGGCGGACATCATAACGAATGTTTTCCTTTTTCCTCATAGATGTGAGCATCGCCAAGATCTATCTGGAAGGCTAATCACTCAGCCGCCTTAGTATATCTGGTGGCCGTGACGAATGGATGCCCACGGGGAATCACTTGGACATGTACAGCGAAGCCTGTGTCTTGTGCATCTGGATGGGGTGTCAGCAGCAAAGGTGAACACTCACGAGTCGTGAAGGCATCGAGATGTTGGTGAGTTTTCCATGTCGGATAAAACCAGTTCAAAACGTCCAGAAGAGAATGAGGAAGGTCATCAAGCATCTGAGCTCCTTGATCGGTGTCAATCATCATGTAGAAGTCGGAAGCTGGTAGGTGTATCGACCATCGTTGTAGCAGCGTATCGGTGACTACTTTTTTGAGGTCGGAAACAAAATGACTGCGAGCATAGTCCGGGTAGATCACCTTGAACGTCTGGAACAGGCTATCATAGGTGGCCGTAGGGAGGTTGCCCGCTACCTTGGGGGTCAAGATGTTGTAGTAAGGGTTGCGGACGGCCAGTTGCTGCATCGGCTTCAGGTCCAATTGGAAAATAACTGGTCGGTGGGGTGTCGAAGGCGGAGTCCGATTGGGTGGATGCTGAAGTGACGAAGAGCCCATAGCGGAGGACGATGCCCGTGTCGGAGAGCGTGAGCGTCGTGTAGGTGAGATCGTCTCATAGGACATAGCTCGCAGTTGGCAGTAGCGGTCCAGGTGAATGCGGAGAGACATAATAAATGGCTGGCGGGTGGTATGATGCGACGTGTCAAAAATCAATGGGCCAACAACGCCCTAGGGTTTGAAGATCACCAAAAGGAACAAAAGGCACAAAAGAAAGGACCAACTGGTTGATGAAGCTTTAATACAGTGCCGCAAACTACCTTTTTGTGCACATACGTCGTTGGTCAGCCAAGTTTGTCCTTGATCTTATTCCACATAGAACGAACATCTTCCTCGGACTTGCCCATCTTGGTCGCGATCACCTTCCATGAAAATCGAGACTTCTCGTCAGCTTTCAATGTGCGCAGTTTCTGTTTGTCTTCGAAAGTCCAGAGTGACAGTGGGCTCGAGGAGCGGGATCGGGATTGATCACGTCGGCGACGACGCTTGGCAGGC